ACCTCTTATCCTCTTCAATTTAATAGTCAGCAGACTGTACGGAGATATTCTCAATTTACTAGTCTCAATTTTCTAGTCCTTCGGGAGAATTCACTAGTCCGAAATACGTTATCGTTTCAAAATTTTAAAGTCAAAAGTAATTCTAAAATAAAAACTGTGTTTCAGCAACTGAATAACAGTTTGAACAATTCCACAATTTAATACGGCTGTTTTATTAAGTACTACCTACTGCCCGCGACTACGTCTGCGTAGAATAGGCCGAAGGCTTTAGAGACAAAAAGACAGATATAGATAAAAAAATGGATATAAATTATAGCCTATGACTTATTCTGATGTATAAGCTATATTATTGTAGAGCTTCATTAGAATCCATTCAGTAGTATTTGCGTGAAAGAGTAACAAACATCCATCCATACATACAACCTTTCGCCTATATAATATTAGTAAGGAAGTAAGGATATATATATAATATATATAAGGTATATAGTAAGGATTAGAAAGGATGTTACATTTTGAACATACTTAAAAAATACGCTCAAAAGAATGTATCATGAATTATTTCCGGATCCGGTGAAACACCTGTCGCGGAGGAGGGGGCTGCGGCCCAGTTCGCTAATGGGGGAACGTGGGTTGAAATAACTGAACTAGCCTCCTCTAACCACACTTCAGCGCGGCTCACGTAGACCGGCTGACACGTTGAGGGGAGCCCGCCGCCCCGGTCGCGAACAATTCAAATACTAATAAGAGCCGAACACCACAAACCTATTTTGAAAACATTTTGCAAACGGCACCGGCCGCTGTGAGCGTCTAAAATTGCATTCGTCCAATGCTTGCCGCCGTGACGTTTAATTACGTGCCAAACGGATAGCCCAAACGTTGTTTTAACATCCGCCGTAATTATTTAGGACCGTTCTCAAATAGATTCATTCACAGTTTTCGCGTGACGGACGGACTTACTAAATAGACAAATGTAGAATCGTTTGTCTAATAATGTTTGTCTGTTAGTCCGTCTCTACGATTCTGCGTTTGTCTAATAAGTTGGTCCGTCCATGAGAATGTCGTCCGCCGAGCCTATTCTCGGATTAATTCCCTTTGTCACTAGTTAACTTTGTAGGACATGGATTTAGAACCACCGAAGAAACGTCTTATAGCGTTGACAGAAAGATAAAACCATAAGCGATATAAAAAGATCGCAGACTCTTTTAAACTACCGGTTTTAAACGGCCGGTTTCAATATTGTATCTGTAGATTTGATTACTAGCGATGGGTATTTGACATTAGCTCCGAAATACTTACGCCAAAATTATATCTCAAGTAAACAGAAGATAGAATATTACTGGTCGATAGTCATCCGCGGCCACCGTAGAAGTCGTAGACCGTCTTAGTACAAACGTTAACATCCTTTTCTAATTAGCAATAACTTATATCGCGCGGTTGCGCCACACAACGAAACAAGTTATCTTCGTATTGTGCAAACCGTCCAAGGGTTAGGCCACGGCGATAACCGCGCGGCTTGATAATTGGGCGCGAATGAAAAAAATAAAAAGAAGAAAAATAGCCAATACGGAGACGTTTAATAATAATGCAAGATTGACACAAAATGATAGTGTAACGGCGATAACACGGTCGATAACCCGTGGCAATCAAACGGGTCGACTTAAAATAGCATCTGTTGACGGTTTGCGCGGAAAGAATCGCACTTTATGCGTTTAACGCGGTTAAGCGGCACCGAGATGTACGTACTAATAACCACGGTAAAGCTTACTTAACTGGGCAAAGTGTATCTTGCCGCAGACTCGCAATAAAATAAAAACTCTAGACCCATCTTCACGCATATCGACAATAAGGCGATTAAGTCCCGAGCCAACGTCGCAACCGCAATAAATCGACCTGCATTTAAATGACAACATGCAACACGATAGCAGTATCACTGAGTGTAGGCTAATTGAGAAAAAAATATGCTTATCGGAGCTCTAGTACTGTAACCCTTTCTGATAGAAGGCGAAGTTTTCTTGGCATGGGGAAGTGATCCACTTGCGCTAATGCCTCACAGTTGCCACGAGGGCCGTCATAGTGCTTTTAAAGAGTGCCAGTGAGTGACTCATTTGAAAGAACTGACCGGCTGCCGGTGGCTTGATGCATCTATATCGTATCAATCAGCAACCGAGCCTGTCTAATGTCGCGCGCAATTAGGTTACGAAAACGCAGCGCCCTGCATTTCCCCCCCCCCCCCCCTGCTGTCGCCTTCTTGCGTCATTGTTGCCGAACGCTGCTGAAATTTGAGCCGGTGTTGTGTGTCGCCTTTTAAAACTGTCGTAGGATGAGACATGGGCGAAGTTTCTGGAATAGCTTCAGTATTATGTTATGTACCTATTGATTTTCATGTAAAGTTGTCAAGCGACCGTGCGGTCCATCTGGTGTTAAATGAATACCACCTCACATGCTCATCAAGCACGGCCTCGGTCAGGTGAAACGCGAAAGTTTAATACTCATTGACTTCAAAAATGGTACAGGGTATTCCCGCAACAGTTTTCGCTGTTGCACGAACGGGCAGGCCTGTCCGGGGCAGTACCACCTCTCTAGACGAAATGCTAAAGTGTATTCTGTGTTTTGTCTAGTGACGTATCAGGTGAACCGCCAGCTCGCTTGCCACGTTCTCACATCAAAAGCCTGTTTCCTTACCACCTAATGTGTTTTTTGAACCATTACCTGCCGACGCTTCTCGGGCCTAGATGAATATATTGGCTGTAAACTTAGCAAATTTCACGCCCAATTCGTCTCGCCAAACGGGGTGAATAGTTTATTCACCTCGCGACGTGCACGGCCGCCAGCAGTCCCTTGCGGGGCCGCAAATCGAACTCTATCCACTAACCGAAATACAGAACGAAAGTACACGTGGTTATTTGGACAGTTAAATCTTCCCTATCGCCTTGAAAGCGGAAATGGAATATGCAATACACCTATCGTCAAATATCTCTATAGTACGTATCTACCTCTATAGTAGTATCACGTATTCGTTGATTACGAAAATACATAGTTTCGTCGACATTGCAATTTGCGTCAATATTTTTCATGCATGTCCCGAAGGTTTTTGTGTTAGTGACGAGTGAAGTTTTTGTCTAATTTATTTAATATTAGATTAAATTGGATATATTAACAAGCTTTATTTAACATAAACTGTTTTACCCGAAACCTTTATGAACGTATCTTTAACATTCAACGCGTAGAATGTTAATTTGTTTCATTGTGACGACAGTGAATTGAAGATTTAAAGACAAATATCATCCAAATCCATAAAAATATAATCAGCATAAAAAGGTTCAGTCATAAAGATGTTGATGAATAAGGATACACTGTGGTGGAGCCACAAAGTTGTATGACAGGCAGACTCGTCCAGGGTAGTACCACGACCTCACGAAGACGGCGTGAAGTGGAAGTATACACTTTCGGTCTATTGAGTGAGTAACCGGGGCCCACTTTTTCAACTGTCGGCAACGCTCACCAACCCACCAGGTTTCAGATATACATGAGCGACGGTAATCACTTAACATCAGGTGAACCAACAGCTCGTTTGCCAATATTTCTCAAAGAAAGCAAAGCAGAAGCGAACATTCGGCTCCTCAAAACTCGCAACGGCGAAACGGGAAAGGCTGGAAATGGTGGAGGCGGTCAACCGAAGCGGTGGAAACATTGTTCGATGTTTCTAAAGCGTCGCGGGCACGTCCTGTTCCACATTTAGAGACTGCCCAGACCGGGAGGCTGTTGCCGAGGCCGGTGAACCTTGCTGGAATTAGAATCGAGACGTCCAACTCGAAGTGGGTGCTACAACACTCGTGATTTAACAGAAATACTCGAGCGTCCTTGAATATCTCTAAAAAAACAATTGATCCCTGATACGTATGGTTTTCTCTTTGAATTATTTATTAACGGTGAAAAAAAAGTAAAATATACTTTATTGTACACCAAGAGAGTAAATATTTATAATTAAAGACACATGGGACAACAACGGGCGATCTTATCACTTATACAGCGATCTCTTCAAAGCAACCTTAGGGCAGAAGATTCATTAAAAGAGGAAAGGGTGTACTAAATAAATAATAAGAAGAGTACATACGTATAAACAGAAATTAATATGTAATAATAGTAATGGACGGCATATGGTAGTTAAGGGGATAAGGTAATGGAAATTTTAATTTAGTTTTAAACATGTGAAGAGATTCAAGTTGTTTAAGAACTAAGTGGAGAGTATTCCAAAGACTTCTGTTTAGCTGTACGGCTTCTAAATAATGTAAAAAATATTATCCTTTTCAAGAATACTACCCATAAACATGATTTTATTAACTTACCACTTGTTTACAATAGCGCTAATTAGGGTTCATTTAGCTGACCTATCCTAACCAGTTAGTCGTCGGACATCATTATGTATACGTATCCACTATTACCCTTTATAATTATTTAGGCAAAGTTCATACGCCTAAATTGGACACATCTATTGAAGTAGCCCAAGCGGTTGTCCTATCGTAGCATGGCCAGCGTGAATTGGCTCGTTTGTTAATCATGAGCCAGCTGGTTTCGCCGGCGGGTTTTAAAACGTCACGAGTAATCGAAAATCGATCGTTTAATTGCCGATTTAAACGTGAATCGATTCTAGTATGTTCAAATCGAATCGAATTGGGTATCGATTTTTGAAGTGAATCACAAAAAAGGCTTGAATGTGAACATAATCCAGTTTTGAAGCTATAGCCCCCACCTATTTATTCAAAAAATAAAAATGAGCAACAGATTTTTACGGGAAAGTTTGGACCGCAAACATTTCATCACACGCTAAACAAGTCCCGATGCCCGATTACATTGTTAGTTTTCGGGGACAATTTGGATCCCGAAAATTGGATGCACTGCAAATGTACTCCCTTGCCAATCTTATCGCATTGCCATGCATCCGATTAGATACACACTGCGTTACCGCCCGCACATCACAGATACCACTGATATCGTAATTAGAGCGAGGAGTTCAGTACACTTTGCTTACAGCAACGTTTTAGTGTGATTCGCAAGTGCCTTTCCAGGTGCCAGGCCAGCAAAACCTTGGCTTTCGCTGATGTTGTCCGTTGACAACCGACTACCGACGCATCGATCACACCATCAGACGCGATGATCGTGGAACCAGCCAGTTCGTGATAAACCAAATGAAGTTTCCATACGCGCCCACTGCGCTCTAAAAAGGGGTCGTGTCGAAGCTCCGCGATCCCGGCCCCGCGACGTCTCCGCTTTATTGAATTGAGCAGTCTATCCACCGAATGATGCATGTTCACGTGTGAAAAGATATGATTTAGCTACAGCACTGCGTTGGCTTTCAACACAAAGTGTTACATTAGCCCCGCGTCTGCCCGGGAGGGTACGGGGCGAATCAATTTTCCGTGCCGCGTCCTCCTACGGTGTCTCGTATAGAGTTTATAAAATGAAATTGATGTAGCTTCATATTTAAATGGGAAACGCTATGTATCTTGGCCGTTGTGAGTGCCGATGTTTGTGGTAAATGATATTACATGAATAGTCTTATTGTTGTGTTGATTGTAACTTAAAAGCTTAGCGCAGTGGCTCAAATGTCAACTGTTAACAAGATTCTGGGTACAAAATCTATTAATGTCTCTATTTAATAAATTAATCGCTTCTATCACAAAGCATATTATATTTACTATGTCCTGCTTTAGACGTATAGAACTACCAATATCAATCGCACGCAAAAAAATTTAGTCAACTTATTCAATAAGCGGTACATCGTACGTCTTTTCTACAAAAGGGTTCATACAATAATGATATATCAGAGACAGTTTTCTTTAATATGATGATAATCTCCCGGGTATTAGTGATTCTTGTAGCCTTTTCGCGAAATGTGTTTGAATTGGTGTTATTTATTTATGTATTATTTTTTGCCAAATTTATTGTTTTCTCTTTAGTTGTGTGCGTTCTTTTTTTGCTAGATAAATGTATTTTCTTTATTCATTCTTTCTTTCTTCTGTTAGGAAGCTTTGGAATAGAGAGTGGGCTGGCGACCACTGATACCACGAGGTCGTCGCGGGCATAAAGTCGCGTTGCCAACAATTTAGGCATCACAACAAGTTGTCGGGAAGAGATAAGAACGATAAAGGCGTGTTGCGGATTTGACCGGGTCGACGTCTCTCGTCCGATACTTTATTTAATTATAATTTCGTTAGTTGGTATTATTCCTGCGTTCGCACTGGCAGCAATCTGCTGTGCACCGTACCGTGCCAACCTAACCTCATCATCGTCTTCGCTTCACCTTACTCATTGTAATTGGGGGGACGGTGGTGTTTTCAAATCACCGTCATCGTGAAAATGTATCCGAAAAATATATACAAAGCTTACGTTGCACAACGCTGTCAGTCTTTATCAAAATTATACATATAGTTAACTAGCTCAAGCGATAAGTTTTTTTGCCATTTGAATTATTTCTAGTTTTTTTAATGCCACACTATAAAAAATAATAAAAAAATTTATACAAAAAAATTATAGCGTGAGCCACCCTTTAACACTTCGGTTTATAATAGTTAGACCCCTTCTGATACCTACAGAATATTCGTATAAAATTTCATTTAAATCGGTCAAGCCGTTTCGGAGGAGCATAAACACTAAAACTGTGACACAAGAATGTTATATATTAGAGATATATTCGGGCGCCAAAAATGGGGAATGAGCTATGTAACTTTCCAAGATACAAGAACTGATGTAAATTAGTACAAGTTGTACTTTGTACATACTGGGAACAAAAGAAGTTGAACTGTGAAATTGATTTAGTGAGTTTATTTTTACAAGTAGCTTAAACAGAACGATATAATTATTTTTCGCGAGATTTGCCGGCACAGAGACGGTCAATGTACAGACAACATCCTTACAATTTTTCTAAACTCATTCTATAATCACATTTAAAATTTAAGTTTTTAGGGTTCCGTACCCAAAGGGTAAAACCTATTACTAAGACTCCGCTGTCGATTTCTCTGTCTATATATTTATCTGTTCGCCTGTCACCAGGCTGTATCTCATGAACCGTGATAGTTAGTCAGTTAAAATTCTTTCAGATGATGTATTTCTATTGCCAATATAACTATTATATAAATACGAAAAAACAGAAAAAATAAATTAAGTGGGGCTCCCATAAATAACATGATTTTTTTGCCGTTCTTATAGATGGTACGGAACCCCACGTGCGCGAGTACGACTCGCACTTGACTGGTTTTTACTACATTCATAATTTACTATACACAGATAATAAAAATTAAAAAGAAACGTACTTCATGAGCAATAAATAATAAATAATAAATTATCTGCCATTGGCATTATAAATATAACACACGGCAACGAGAATTGTCCTAGGTTCGACACTGTCTAACGGATAACAGATTCCTATAAAAAATTGTCTTTGACGCATATCAGAGTAGACTACGGAGGCACACTGCTTCAAACATAAACCACCGTACTTGAATATTTTTTTTAAATATTGCTCTAGTGTAGAATAACGTCATCCTGTGTTGAAAGGACGTTTTAACGTGCTATACAAAAAAGAACAGCGAAAAAGTATATAGGCTGCCCGTGTTAAGAAATCAGACTGATCACATATTATTCATTCGGATCATGTCATACAAGCGCGGGATTACAAACCTAAGGTACTCACAAAGACGAGAACTATTAGCGTATCCTTTCGTAACGATGAAATATTATCAGACAACGAATTATCGTTATTATAAAATCGTCAGTTAACCGCAAAATAAATGCTATTATGACAAAAATCAATATTAACTGGCTTAATGATAACTCGAAAACTATTATTGTGTAACAGTTATTCGAAATTGCTCGGGCGGAATGCGATATGCGGTCGCGTATCGGTGCGTCGTGAGAGCTCACGATTCCCAAGTTGAGGTCCTGATGAGGACATGCTCACAAGTTGGCGGATTTGTAACGTAGTAATAGAAGACAGGACTGAGACAATTGATTACCCTAAACTAATAGGATACCACTTCGATGTCCAGTGTTCCACAACAGCGCGATTTTCAAGACATTTCCTGCCTCGCACAACCATTCTGTGGTACCAGCTGCCGCCAGCGGTCTTTCCGAACCCGGTAGTCTTCAAGAAACTGTTCAAGAGAGCATACTCTTTCCTAAAAGACCGGCAACGCTCTTGGGCGGCGTTAATCACTTACCCCTTTGTTTGCCCCTTTTCTCCACTAAAAAAATGCCTTGACATACGAAGAACCTGGACAAAATACAGAACTAAGTTGGCTTTACGGAAGACCATTATAAAGGGAACAATCAACAATTTTGCATTTCGCCCCGTCAGTGAGATAGCACATGGTATTTCGTCTTTAAGTTGGATAAAGCACCTTCCGCTTCTGTTGAGTTCCATTGTAGTTATATCAATTATCAGAGCAACGTTTTCTGAAACGGTGCACACTACGGCGTTTTTAGGATATATGGTGTTATAGCGGTAACAGAAATACATCACCTGTGAAAATTTCAAATATCTAAGTGTGTCATATCAAAGTGGACAGACAGACACCGGGGCCTTAGTAATATATGCGTACGGAACCCTAAAAAGGAAAGCCCGAATCAGGAGGAGTGAACGCCACCTTTGTGAATATATGCCAACTAATAACCAGGGCCGATTAACGTACACACGTGGTATGTCATAACTAAGTTCCTCATTCGCGTAACTTCTCATTGCACTCGAATGTTAAATTTCCATCGTGAAAAATGATTTAACAGCGAAATAATAAAAACGAAACTTTTCACAAACAATGAACTTATTAAAATATACTTCCACTTGAGCTCCGTTAATGTATTAATTCAGTTTCAGTAAAAAGTTTTTACATCGTATTTCGAGCGAAATAATGTACTGTAGCGAAATAATGAAGTGTATCAATAATTGAAATGAAACTGATTTGATTCAATCATTCCATGCAAAAAATTTAATAATCCAATGAAAATTAATATCCGGAGCTAGTAATAGAGAGCTTTTGTTTAAGTTTCGAACGCAATAATAGCTTTTGTAAAATAATATTCGTTTCAAAAATTTAACTGAAATCCTCTAGCGTTATATGAGTTGATGATAATGTTATTGCATTTGTCTTGTTCTTTAAATTATATATCACTACATAATAAAACAATGTCGTCCCGCTGTCTGTGCCCCTATGTACGCTTAGATATTTAAACTACGCAACGGACCTTGATGCGGTTTTTTTACTAGATATAGTGACAGATATAGTGGTTTTTTACTAGAGATAGCCAACCGTCGGTAGTTCTTAAATGATCATTGGGCAACAGGAAACCTCTGCTTGCAAATCTTAAGCGACGGCCCCGAGTTGGCTTTAAAGTTGGTGACTGCCACAAATCACCTAACTAGTTCTTTACGCGCAGTCTATGTGCTACGAATGGCAGCGTTACCGACGCACAAAGAAAAACCATTTGGTTGAGCTTGCAGAAAATGTGACGAACAACTGAGCTCGATTAGTATACTGCAACAAGTTTTCCGTTTTTTTTTTTTGATATTTTTTTTAAATTAAAAAAAAAACAAAATATGATACTGATATAACGAAAAAAAAACCGACTCAAACAGGAAGCTAAAAAATATTGTTATTACATATAACATTTGAGGATTGCCGTCGATTTCTCTTGGATTCCATCATCAGATCCGGGTTTCCTTATCATGATACCACCCTTGGGATATCTCCTCGCTAACAAAAAAAGAATCATCAGAATCGCTTCATAAACGACGAAGTTATCCGCGAACACACATAAAAAAGTTAAAATATATACAGTCGAATTGAGAAACCTCCTTCTTTTTTGAAGTCGGTTAAACAGTGTTAGGCGAGGAAACGTAATTTCAATACATCGTTATCGCTTTGATCATCATCATCAGTAAGGTCGACTGACGAACAAAGGTCCCGGCCCTTAAACGACACTATGAACAACATTTGAATTTGCCATTTACATTCACCGACCGTACCTTAACGTACAGACAAAACTGCAGTAAATTATGCAATGGAATGCAAAACTCTATTAACGACATAATTTAACATTATAAATTTCAAATTACACCCTGACACGGAAAAGAACTCAAATAGCTGAGAGCCATCTCGATCAAATCAGCTTTTGAACAAACAAAACCGCACCATAATCGGTCCGTTCGTTTTAAAACTACGATGCCACAGACAGACACACAGATACACTAACGGACACGTGAAACTTATAACACCCCTATTTTTACGTCGGGCGTTAAACAAGGAAAAATTGCGGAACATTCCGTATCGAAGATATTACAGGCGAATATATAATTTTTCTAAGTTTTTACTTGCACTATTCAAGCATCTCGTTCCGGGGGCGAGTAAAGCTTTTAATGGCGAAACTGAGATCATTTATTAAGCGAAACAGAGCAGGTCTCTCGCGCGATGGCCCGTGAAAAATGTAAAAATTCTTATTAGGGCACCGCCACGCCGCTATGCCAGCGATGTTAGCACCGAAGCCGTTTAATGCATAAAGTGTCCGGGACGGAAAGCTTTTAGGGATTGCGCCGTTTCCAAGATGGCGAATCGCGTTCGGAACACGACCTAACGTGGCGTATTGGGCTGTTGGCGCGATTGCACTCGTTTTAAGGAAATGCGTCCGTTACAGTTTGATACGGGGCGTTTCGCATCGGGCGACTGATAAATGCGCTCGGCAGATTGTGCGCTGACGCACACGAGGGGCGAACCGACGGGGAATGCAATGGATTTCGGTAGATCGACTTCAATGTCTACGTTATATAAAATGACACGCAAAATAGTATTTGAGATTCGCAACGATCTGATGTAAGAAATAGGAGATTTTTACATTGTGGTAGGACCATGCGACAGTGTTCATTGTTGCACTAATGGGCAGGTCCGTCCGGGTGAGTACCACGAGCTCACAGAGGACCGGCGTAAAGTAGTAGTGTTTGCGTTGCAAATGTCCATGGGCGGCGGTTATCGCATAACAACATAAAAAATACGGTATACAACTTCTGATTTGATAGCACAGGAACTCTTCGGATCTCAGGATTCTTCTGATTTCATCATTCAAATACGACGCATCGCATCGCCAGTGGTGCGGCAAAAATTTATAGATATTACTTCGTTTCAATAAAACCATGGTGGAAGTAGTATGGGCTTATGAAAAATAAACCTAATAAAAGTTGTTTATGTTACGTATGTACGTTATGCAACTTGTTAGAACTTTTATATTATGATATAGTTTTTGGCGTCTGTATGATTTGAATTCCGGATTCAATTAATTTAATTTTAAATAAAAATTTAATTTAAATAGATAACGTAAAACGTAAAATTGTTACCATTTGCCATGCTCACGGGGCTGACTCATGTATTTTCGTCCAAAATGTCGTAAAGTGATTGAAATAAATAAAATAGTTTTATTTTGCGTTTTTTATTTACTTATAATAATGTAGTACATAATGAATACGTAACTAATAAATTCTTAATGTTATGTCATATCTTTAATATTGGCATATGTTGGCTTGATGAACCTTTTAAAAGATGTTAAAAATTATTTATTGAGATGTTTCTTAAATTTTCCAATCTTAATTTATGTTAAAGTTCAATAAAACTTATCTTACGGATGTTTTCGCTTCAACCTTCTTTATGAGACTTCAAGAAACAGGAAGCCCCTTTCTGTATCTTGAAGCTCAAATATAGGAACAAATAAATTCTAAAAATGACTCAGGGCTAACTATGACATTTTGAACAAAAAACCCATATAAGTCTGCCTCGTTTATGGTAACAGAAAAGTCTGAGATCTTTTTCGACCCGACGTTTCAACCATGTAAAGGATACGGAATTAAAAGAACACAATTAAAAGCGAAAACATTCATTAGATTAGTTTTATTTCACAATTTAGATCAAGATTAGAAATTTTAAGAAACAGCTCAATAAATTATTTTTAACATCTTGAAAAATCTTTATTAACCTAACACTTGCCGGTGTTAAAGTTATGAAATGGCATTAACAAATTATTACTTATGTATTCAATGTACTACTACTTTATTATAAATACATAACACACGCAAAATAAGCATTTTTATTTATTTCAACTACTTTACTCCTCTGTAACTTTTAAAGCAAAATTTTTAAAAAGAGATATTTCTTCAGCATTAAAACCGATAAGTTCCGGTAGCAAAGCCCGCACTATAGTAACACTCGTTTAACTCTAAATGCCCCGAATATAGACCACGTATCGAGCCCATGACCAATGGCTTTAAAGGCGACCATTACCGGAGAGTCGTAGACGTCCGCAAAGTTTCCCTCTACCAAAGCTCAGCCACTAACTTTGCCAGATCTAAATATAATAATTGTTCTAGCTTGGTCCGGCTGGTTACAGTGCCGATGCCATTTTCCTTGTATTTCTTACAAGCGCTAGTACTGAACAATGTTTTGATTTTGATTTGTCGAAATTAGAACGTTCAAGTTACAAGAATACAATGTGTCGAAGTACGCTTATTTTCCTGTTGTTGTTATAACAAAAGTATAGACGAGTCGTTCAACAGTATTGAATGCTTTTAGCTCGTATCTGTTTTTTTTTTTCAAACATGTATACATCATAAGTCATGTAAAATTCCTGGCTCAAAGGAAAACGTTTATTTGTTGTATTCTTATAATTTCACCGAACATCATCTTTTCTATTTCAATCGTCTTCTTACTTTTCGGTGGTTTTTATTGAATGACTAGATTTCACCCGCGGCTTCGCTCGCGTTAAAGCCCTCAAATAAATATGTTATTTTAAAAAAATATTTTTTATTTAATAAAAAGACAACATATTTGTACAAAATTTCACGATAATCGGTTGAGTAGTTTTGGCGTGAAAGCGTAACAAACAAACTTACATTCAGATTTATAATATTAGTAGGGATGAATTTTAGAATATCTTTGAGCTAGCAATAACCAATAGACGGCCAATAAAAGTGACGGAATGCGATCGTGATGCAGTGGTTGGCAGCAAAAGATGGTAGAAACACGTACATACTTTTATATCTCACATAAGTAGAGAGGTACTCGGACGGATGTTTACGTCTGCCCTCACATTGCTCATCGACGATCGCGATTGAAAAATTAAAAAAAAAGTCTTCAAGTGCAATAACAAGCAATCAAACGCTGGGGGGAAATCTGTTCCACCCGAGCTTTCTGTCTGTAAGGCATTCAACACACGTTAGAAAACTTCGAAGTCTACAAGATATATACAAAATGGAACAGGACATTTATTCTTAAATCGCATAGCATGTTCACTGATACGAATATCTGTACGGAAATCGCTAAATTCGCTAGCAAAGTAACTTGTTCGTCCACCGGATCGTAAACGCGGAGTCGAAGCGCCGACATGTAAGTCACACCCGACTCATTCCCTCGAAACCCAGAAGCTCGCTTTTCTGGGGACCACGATCGAGATGATGGACCAACTCCTGGATCCTTATGCATCTCTCCTTCGGCGAATGCCGTAAACTCTTCGCCTACGTTATTCGGAACGGGCGACTTCGCACGATGGTTTCAAACGGTTCAACTAATTTCAACCTCTGATCGTCGCATTACCGTGGGGTCAAACGTTGCTAATTGTCAACTAACATTGCGAAACATTTAACGGACCCACTAGTTTTGATTTATTTATCTATTAATACTTTATTGTACACCAAATATATATATATAAAGCAAATGACAAATGAATGTAAAAGAAAGTACAAAGGCGATCTTATCGCTCAGAAAGCGATTTCTTACAGACAACCATTGCGAAAAGAATTTTTGCTAAACAGACGTAAAGAAGAGTGCATAGGGAGGTGTACATGAATCACTTATAAAATCGCATTTATTCATCAATGAGATAGTCAAATATTTAGGGAAACATAGGAAATGGTGAAAGGAAAGCATGAGTTCACATAGTTTTATATGGGACTAAATAATTAGAACTTAGTTATTGCCGACGGAGGTGTCAATTAATTCTACGCGCGCTGTTCCTTCGGCGATTCGTCGACGCGACTGAAAATTAATACCTTACGCTAACAATTATTGTTAGATACGTTGTTAGAAATTTAAAAAAGAACCATTCGATCGTTGAGGAAATAGCATACACGTAATTTCAGTGACAATGTTTAAAAGTTACAAACGTACATTGAACAACGTCTGACTTAAAGGAAAAAAAATGTTTTAAAAGACACAAAAGGCAATTTTTTTATTCAAAATGTTGTTTAAAATTTGTCAAAAGAACGAAATAGTTTTAGCTCAACAATCGAAAATACCATCGTAAAATTTTGTTCGCTTAATATTTTAACAACAAGGAAACGCCTTCAGGCTTTCTGTAAAAAAATGTTTGATGGCGAATACAGAAGTAAAATAAGAAGATTTATTTGGTGATTCCAATATCAAATTTTATCCGACGAAAACTTATTTTCAATACATCGGAAAAAGGCTAATTAACCGCATGTAACCTCAACAATATGTTAAAAGTTTTAAAATTAACATTAACCGAAACAACTTGACGAGAGTTCTGTTCGGAAACTTCCGTTACACTTAAATCGTCCGCAAGTTAATCTTTCAAGTTAATCTTCGCATGGAAACAACTCGATTGGCGATGGTTAAGAAACCAAAAAAAATTCATAATCGCGACGTAAAGTATGCACCGTATGGTTATCAAATACGCGCAACAGGCGCAAACCGGTTCCGGCGTCCGTTCCAGCTTTTTATTATTTTTAGCTAGGTCTGTTCAAATGGTCAGCGGCCAAGTCGGCGCCAACTTCGGGAGGGCCTTAGGATATTGCGGGAGGGAGAAGTCTGCGTAGGTTCGCCGGCTGCTGAGGAGTTCTGTCTTACCTGGATCGCGAGTGCGAGCGCAAGCACGAGGGCTGACGTGCAGACCCTCATGGCTGACGGCCGTTCTGCACTGGAATGGTTCAAGTTTGCGCGCGCTGCGGCGAGTGCGTAGGCACCGTGCGTGCCTCGCAAGCGTCGGGCCGCGAATGCTCGGCGCTCCGCGCTGAGTGAGACTCTGAGAGGCGCCGCAACGCATGCAAGCCCGCTCGCCCGCGGACCCTTGCAGCGGACTTGCGCTTTAACACACCGCCCCGCTTAATTCGCAAGGAACTATCTCGTTTACACAATCTTTTTAAACTGTCGTCCGCTGATTGGCGGCCGGGCGAAAATTTAAAAAGAGAACAGTTTCTTTTTTAAATCTACAACATTCCGTCGCGTCGCCCTTAATTCTAGAAAGCGGACAACGTAGCGATTTTATTAATTCTATATGCGATTTCTTTTTAATTTCCGAAAATTAATTTACTTACCTTTTTTTGTATTTCTAATGCGGTTTCAATAATTTAATTTAAAAGTATTGTTATGTATTATGATTTTACATTTTGAAAGAAGGAGCGTTTTAGCGTTTCGTTACTAAAAAAAAACAAAAATGTCGAAATGTTTACTTAGGGGTCGAAAAATTATCGTGGTTGAAACACGAAGTGAATTATTTAATCAAAGCTCATCACAAATATATCGCGACGGTGATGAGGACCGGTTTGGGACAAAAATTTTAAAATATTTTCTATGTCCGTTCAAAAAATAACAATCGAATACAATCTCACCTGTATGTAAAATAAGGTTTGTGAATCGGGTGCAAAGAAAATATTACATCTCTTTCACCCGATCACAGCATAGAAATAACAGATGCAGATGACCACGTATAAATACTTATAACAAAATTTAGAATGAAAAGCTATTATATTAAAGATAATAGGCACATTTAAAAAGTACCTGTCGGTAAGAAAAATATCCTCATGTTTTTAGTGGTAACAATTAATATTCATAGTTTTTATTCCATTTTTATTTCAATTACTAAATCTAGTATCCAGTGTTCCATAAATTATTTTCGCAGCAGGTTGCTCTAATTTATTCGCACTCAATGCCTTTTTGTCGTATTATATATCTAAGTACACAATACCTTTTGATTCATACGGTGCACGTTTTCTTCTTCTAACTTTTCCCGGCGAATCATCGTTATGTATATGCTTGATATGCATATACATAACGATGATATGTATATTATTTATATGCATATCATATATCCATATACATATACATATATGATATGCATATGTATATGCATATACATATACATATGCATATCATACATATTTTTTTTCCAAGTAAAAGTGTAAAAAGTGAAGTTATAAAAATGAGCAGGGGCGGCCCCAGTCAGATAATAGCTACCGATCGAGCCGAGGTCCGGCACTCTCGGGCACCCTCGAATCGGAATGCTAAACGCGTGCTGAGTGACAGCCCAAGCCGAGGTCCCCTCTCGGGGACCCTTGAGCCTGATCACTCCATGGAGCGCCCGCCAAAGCGCCCTAAGAGCTTGGCGGCCTCCCAAACCGGTAACAATAATAGCGTGACGGCCCGAGCCGAGGCTCCCCCGGGAGCCCTCGAGCTTAGTCACCATAACGCGTAATAATAGTACGCCGAGGTTCAGGCTAGGCGCCTCGTGCGCCAGGCCACCTCAAGTCCGTCGGATCTGTAAAGGCCCCTAAGGCCAACAGTGACTCATCCAGCCCAAAAAAAAAAAAAAAAAAAAAAGGGGCGGCAATGGTGACTGTGGAATATGTGGAATAGGGACTAACTGTGACTATCATTAGTTCGAATCTCGCGTTTGAAAATGGGACTCTGAATTTAGATTTCCTGTTATAAATCGTAATAGGTACGTCTCCTATGCCTCCTGTCTTCCGTCCCGTAATAGTTAAAGATTACGTATTTTGTATAAGTATACAAAAAATGTAGAGTATATATTTTCCATTTTAACCATTCTCAAATACCTTTCAAATAAATTCAATCTGCCAGTATTCAATGTACGTGTCCATTACTTAACATTAAAAGGGGCTTTATTTTTAAGATTTGTCCTATTTGAACTGCCAGTGCGTCCTATCAACGTATGTTTCGAAGCTGATCTCTGCCAATTAGGCAACATAAATATATTAATATAATTATGACATGAGCTGTTTTAGTAGTGTATACACAACGTCCACGAATGCAATTTAGAAACAATACAAAATATGCTTCGCTATCTAGTAGAGATAGGCAACAACTTTTGATGCGCAAATTAACTTATTAAATTGATTCATTACATATTAAAAACCAAGTCTTTATGTATAATTGTAAACTTTAACATATCTAAAATGCATAAATGTGATAATAAATAAAAGTGATTTATTGCACACATACAGATTCAATTGATTGGTTTATTGTAAATGGCAACTTCATTAAAATGTGGCTTCGCATCTGCAACCCTAAGGGTGTGGCAAATGTCCGATGGCGTCTGCGACTTCTCGAGGTAATCACACTCGAATTTCACACTGTGCCAATGATTATCATATTCGTATGACGCCGTGGCGCAGTTGTGAAGGTATTGGCTTCGGCGTCGCGGGTCGTCGGTTCGATTGCCACACGCGACACGTATTCGTGTGACGTACAAATAATTGTTTCCGATCAGGGTGTTTGTCCACGTGAAATTTATATTTGTAAAACGCTCTTATAACACAGAACGATGGTATCCTAAGGTGAGGGCAAAGTTTTTTAAAAATAATGAGATAATTCTAAGGATATTAAGATAACAGAACCGCAGAATTTCTTGCCGTATGGTACGATAGTATCATCGGTTCAATTAAGTAGGCCTGTCCAGAGAATGATGAATGATGAATGTGAAAACAGTAGTTTTCACATTCATCAAGAGCTTAAAATAAGCCTATATTGAATAACGAAACATTCACTTAGATCTTTGACTTTGATATTTTACTTTGCGTTAGGAACTTGGAAAAGGAAACATGAGAAATCACGGGCGTGTACGGAAAATTCGATATGCGAGATGTGACTGCTGTAAACCACCGAAGGCGTGGGTAAACTGTGATTTCCTCGGCTGTAGCCTGACCAATTTAGTCAATATCCTGCTAACGGAGGCATGCGGGATTGGCGCTGCTGTTTCCAGACGTTTCTCTGAAACACTGAACGCAAAATGCGCTTCACCCATAACGCCCAATTTGCACGCACACCACTGCGACGCGGGCCCCCGATAATTGCATTAGTCATTGACTAACAATTTTTTTAATACACCATGGCCGTAATTAGGAGCCTCTTATAGCCGTCGCAGAAACATGCTTGAGTAACTTTGCACTATTGACCGATGCTATTTTCGGGTGAAAGTCCATTCTAAATGGTCGAAAACGCCTACGGAGTTTTGTTCCTTACGGTGATAAATAAATGTATAGTCCATACAGAATCTGAGGGTTTGTTCTGGTATTAAAAGTGAGTAAGGTCAAAATCTCCTCTATACAGAAGGTATTATGGTGTAGTCAACAACGCGACCCCACTAGGAGGCATTGGCAGACTTCACGCGTGTGAAGTGTCCCAGTCTTATACTGACATCTAACAAAGTTTTTTCTTATTTTATACTAGCTGTGCCTGCGACTTCGTCTGCGTGGATTTTAAATAAAAAAATCTAAAATAAAATTAGCCTAAGTTACTCCTCATTACATCAGCTATCTGCCCATGAAAGTTCCGTCCAAATCGGTCCAGCCGTTTCAGAGATTAGCCGGAACAAACAGTAAGACAGACAGACAAAAATTGTAAAAAATGTTATTTTGGTATATGTAGCGTGTATACATCCATATGCATTCAGTAAAATGCGGTTATTTTAATATTAGAAACAGACACTCCAATTTCATTTATCTGTATGGATTATTTCGAAAATATGCTGGTTTCCTTACGAAGTATTCCTTCACCTCCAAGCACGCAATCAACAATTTTGTTTGTGCCGGCAGCATAGGTATTTTTGAATTCTGACTACCTAAGTAAGTTGCTACCTGACTACCTAAGTAAGTTGCTAAATTGCTTAAACGCGAGCATTCGGACACCGAGCTATCGCGGCAATTATTATTTAAATATTGTTGAACACAGCAATTTGTGGATCCACGTGCCGCCTAGCGCGTTCCGGTATGATACGGCCATTATTATTGGCTATTCCGCTGGTGCTGCGAAGTCTATGGGCTTCGGTGATCACTTAAAGTCAAGTCTACCGGTTTGCCGTCTCCTGAATTAAGTCAGTAAATTAAACAGCAAATTTCTTAGAAAAAAGGAACGAAAATGCTTCAAATGCTAATGAAACAATTTAGATAAAGGAAGTTGAGAATTTCGTGGGTGTGGTGATCAACCGTTTCGCTTAGTGGCTAAAACGTTAGGGCGCGAATCCCGAAAACGTGGGTTCGATTCCCACAGCGGCGGGAATCTTTTCGTCCCTTTTTTCTAAAAAAAATCAATGTTTAATCTTAGGTGCCGAGATTAGAGCTATAAAAATTTAAATTAATTCAGTAACTTAAATTAAATGAAACACTAGTTGAACTTAAACTAGACGAATTAAGCATTCGTAACGGTAATATTCTTGTGTAGGTTTGTTATATTTCATCGCACACTTAGAACTTGAAGTAATTTACCAAAACCGGTTTCGTCATACGATACGGCTTGCGAAGTCATCGACGTTAACCAGATTAATAATAAATCGGCTCACTTCGCAATAAACATTATAAGATTTATTTTTCAATTATCCAAATGTACAAATCCGATAGCTGAAGATATTTTTGGGGCTTTGGTTATTTATAGCACACAATTTTTGCTACAATTTTGCAAATAAATATGCACAACTTGAAATATAATGATTTCAATGAAATGGTTAGACTAAAATGTCGCTGTTCCTCGCTACACTGTGGCGCAGTCCAGAGGCAGGGTCCTTCTGAGTCTCAGGCTGCATCCCGGAGGTCATTAAACCCTCTCCTGCGCTTATCATGTTACCGAACTCGAAGACTGTATAGGCGTAACGCCTGCGACAATGTATAATTGCAAACTCAACCTGCTCAAACCTCTTTCAACAAAACTTTGCACCAGCTCTTGTGTTGAACAAATTACAACGTCATCGGTCCGGGATAGAATCAAAATCAAAATCAAAATCAAAATCAGAATCAGAATCAAAATCAAAGCAAC